CCGCCTCCCTGCAAAAAGTTCCTCATTCTTAATAGATACAGCAGAAGGGGACTCCATTGCTTAATTATTTGACAACTAAGGCTGTTGTGACTTTTTTTAACTTTCCCTTTTTGGGGGCTGTTCCTGACATAATGGGATGAGCACATAACAGCCAGATGGTCAGTCAGTCTTCCCTTGGCTCTCCCTGCTGGGTTCTTCGTGGTTCTCACGGGAATGTCTTGTTTCTGTTACGGTTGTCTTAATCTCCTTTGGATGAAGAGTCACCTGGGGTTTGAACTAATGGGTTGCTAGCACAGCCTAAGTGTTAGTACCCTGATAAGAATACACTGGACAACAGCAACAACTGGGAATAAGGAGGAGAACTACAAAGTGTATGGGGTTCTTCAACCAGCTTTCTATTCAGCCAAACCAAATCACATGAACGAAAATCCAACCGTTGACTTTATTCTCCTGCAAGAACCAAATGACTTGCTCTTTAAGTTACTATTCAGAGGCAGATATCCAAATACAACTGAAAGCGACAACCTGCATATAAATGCCAGTTTTCAGCCCATAAATGCTTTCAGATAATTCCTTGGTCCAGCAACTTGGAGCACGGAACTTAAAAGCATTTCTGTTCCATTTGCTTACCGACACCAATTACATGTGCCACGATCGCCACATTTCACAGTGTTTCAAATGTATCCTGTGGGGGTTGCAGGTACAGCTAAGTGGTTAAGCATGAGCTTAGCATGTAGAGGGAATCCCTGGGTTCAGTTTCTATCATGACAAAGGAAGCAAAACCTGTATCCTATTAAATTCATTCATTCAATGCTAAGAAAGAAACACTGGCATAGAACCATGGGAATCAACGAGAGAGCATTAAGTTATTTAAAGGGTCACCAAAAAATATAGGTACACTAAGCCAAATAATGACAAAACCGATTTCTCAGGGACAAACTCCATCCTCTCTCTGAGGATGACATTGTGTAGTGATCACAGCTGACATGGATACATCCAGTAAGGAAAAGTAAAGCCAAGTAAAGTCCATGCATGCTGAAAGTGTCTCGGATATCAGTATGACAAAGTACACTATAATTAAAAGGTAACTGCAAGCAATTCAACCAGCACAAGGACATGGATTAGTTGGGTATAAAGAATATAAATATGAGCCGGGCGGTGGTGGCGCACGCCTTTAATCCCAGCACTTGGGAGGCAGAGGCAGGCGGATCTCTGTGAGTTCGAGGCCAGCCTGGTCTACAAGAGCTAGTTCCAGGACAGGCTCCAAAACCACAGAGAAACCCTGTCTTGAAAAACCAAAAAAAAAAAAAAAAGAATATAAATATGTCTATAATTTAACACAATTATGCTAGAAAGCTTTACAGAAAAGATAAAATACTGATAACTGAAACATTCGTAATGCATTCCCGAGAAAAACAGTAATACCAAACACACACCATTAACATTTTTAAACACGGAACCCGCTTCTGCTGCCATACCATATGTTCCCACCGTGATGACTTCATCTCTCTGGAACCCGAAGCCAAATCAGCTTCTTCTTCTTAAACTTAAAGTTGCTATTGGCCGTGGTATTTTTATCATGGCAACAGAGAAGTCACAGATCTACTAGGCAAGAACCACTACTGTTTCAGCTACATCTCTAGCCCCCCAAATGAAATAATAATAACAACAACAACAAGGCTTCTCTGTGTAGCCTTGGCTGTCCCAGAACTCACTCTATAGACCAGGCTGAAGCGAACTCAGAGATCCACCTGCCTCTGCCTCCTGAGTGCTGGAATTAAAGATGCACACCACCATTGCCTGAACTTAATTCTTTAGATGAATCTTATCACACTGTAACTTTTTTTTTAATAGAATATTCTACTGAAAGTACCTCATTGGTTATTTGGAGGGAGTAGGGAAAGGATAATAAATCCAGTTCATTTAAAGTTACATATCCATCTGTGACCTTACTGACTCTCACAAACTAGTTCTATAAGGATTAGCAATATAAGGATTAGTATATAAGGATTAGTAATATAAGGATTAGTATATAAGGATTAGTAATATAAGGATTAGTATACAAGGATTGATCTGAGCATCAGGATCATGAGAAAAATAAACAAAAATGTGATTTAAAGTAGTGTCTGATAAAACAACTTGCTTCCATTTTAGGCTTAAAAGTCATCCTATAGTAAAGAAAAACGAGATTCATTCATGTTTATGATTAAATCTGTTTCTCATGGATTGGATTCTCTACAGCCTGTTCCAGGAATGGCAACCGCGCCTGTTTCCCAAAGTCATTATGACCACCTGTTGTTACAACCACCTTGTTACGATTACCTTGCAAATATGTCTTTGTTTCAGCAAGTTGCTATAACCAATATGTTATGCTTAATTTCTTTTTTTTTAAATTTATTTATTATGTATACAATATTCTGTCTGTTTGTATGCCTGCAGGCCAGAAGAGGGCACCAGACCCCATTACAGATGGTTGTGAGCCACCATGTGGTTGCTGGGAATTGAACTCATGACCTTTGGAAGAGCAGGCAATGCTCTTAACCACTGAGCCATCTCTCCAGCCCTTAATTTCTGCTCCTGTAACCCCACCGATTTGTCTGCCAACTTCCCCATTTGGAAACCCCCACTTCTGAGCTATAAAAAATCTTTATCTACTCCATTTCCAATGTTGATCTCCTGAACACACTTTTTTTTTTTTTTTTTTTTTTTGGTTTTTCGAGACAGGATTTCTCTGTGGTTTTGGAGCCTGTCCTGGAACTAGCTCTTGTAGACCAGGCTGGTCTCGAACTCACAGAGATCCGCCTGCCTCTGCCTCCCAAGTGCTGGGATTAAAGGTGTGCGCCACCACCACCCGGCTATCCTGAACCAACTTTTTTTTTCTTTTTAAAGATTTATTTATTGGTTATATACAGCACGTTTTCCTGCACACCAGAAGAGGGCTTCAGATCTCATTACAGATGGTTGTGAGCCACCATGTGGCTGCCGGGAATTGAACTCAGGACTTCTGGAAAAGCAGTCAATGCTCGCCACCTCTGAGCCATCTCTCCAGCCCCTGAACCCACTTTTTTTTTTTTTTTTTTTTTATTTTCGAGACAGGGTTTCTCCGTAGCTTTTGGTTCCTGTCCCGGAACTAGCTTTTCTAGACCAGACTGGCCTCGAACTCACAAAGATCCGCCCGCCTCTGCCTCCCGAGTGCTGGGATTAAAGGCGTGCGCCACCACCGCCCGGCCCTGAACCCACTTTTAAGGGAGTTTTTGCCTAAAATATACATGGTCCTAGCTCCAAACTCTCACAGGTTCCCAACCTCGCAGCAGGTACTGAGAGACCCCGAAAGACCCAAAGAGTGCAGTTCTTCCACTGGGTAACCAAGAAGCATCTCTGGGACGCTATTTCAGCTCGCGGGTGGATTTGTGTGTGTGTGGGACGGGTGTGTGGGACGGGTGTTTGGGGCGGGAAGGGGGGGCGTCAGATGGCACCGGATGCGGAAGTCGCTTCAGGGGGCACTGGGGAGTGTAGTTTCTCAGGCAGAGGCGCTGAGAGGAGCGTGACTACGTTTTAGGAACGTTGTCTTAGGAAGGAGGATAACGCTTCCAGGTGCCGCTTCCAGGTGCCGAAGCATCCACACTCCAGCTAAGCGGGAAGCACTCGACCAGAAATGGACAGATCAAAGGACCACGGGAGCTGCGGGCAGTCCAAGTTAATGGGTGGCGCGGGGCATACTGGGAGGCGTGGTTCTTGCGCCTGGAGGGCTCTGGGTGGTGTAGTCCCGACTCCTGGGGGGGGGGGGGATCGCTCCCCAGCTGGTGGCTGGAGCAACCCCTTATTCTTTGGTGGCGTCGGTGAGTGCTTCTCCCGCGAGCCCTATTCGGGACTGAGGGGAAGATCCTGCAGGGCTGGTCTGGGGTTTATCTGGGCACTCGGCAGTGGTGCTGGAATCTGGGAGCTGAGGGGACATTCTGGCGCGGGTGTGTTATCTTGGGGGTGTGAGCATGCATTTCTGAGGAAGTTGTATGAACCTCAGCTGTCCTAGTGTTCTATGGGTGCGCAAGGCTTGGTTCTTCTTTGTTAGGGTTCTTGTGGGTGGGGACAGGTTCAGCGTTGGTTGAAATGGCAGTATTGTTATAGGAGATCGCTCAAGCTTTAAGTGCGCTAGTAGGTGAGGCCTGACTAAGGAGACTTTTAGGGTTTGATATTTATTTACTACGTCTTGGGATGGGACTGTCTAGGTCTGTGAGCCTCAGGATTTCTTTGGTGTTTTGGGGAGCTAGAGGTCTTTTGGTTCTACCACTTCTCAACTTTGCTGATATGTGGTGAGGGCCCCCTACCCTAGCCCAGTAAGCCCAGATTTCACTGTGTGTCAGGTGGCTATGTTGGCCCGGTCTTATGGTCTCAGTTTAGTGTTCCCCACTCCCAGTTAGGGCTTTGAAAAGGTGGCAGGCAAACTGGGACCCATTCATCAACTTTTTTCAAAGTACCCAAAGACTTAGTGACTACAAGAAGCTTAGGGGTTTTAAATTGCATTTTAATGTTTTGTTATAGAGAAATCCCAAACAGCCAGAAAAATATAAAAAATATAAAGCTTCAAAGACCTGTCACCCAGATGCTGGCCACCCTGTGACTAATCATGATTTATCTCAAAGTTAACACTCGAAGAACCCTTAGCACCCTAGAGGCTCTGGGTCTCACAGCCATGTTTCCACAGGCTGTCACTTCCTAGTCGGTCACCTTGGCAAGGGCCTGATCTCATTGTGTCCCCAGTCTCATGTGTAAAAGGAGAGTAGCATCTACGTGGAGTTGTTGCTCGAATGAAGACTGCCTGGAACAGTCTCTGGAGTGTTCTAAGCGTCCAGTAAGTATTGACTTTCATGACTACCAGCCAGAGAGGATTATCTTACTCCTGCCATCAGCTGCATGCCTGGGAAGGCTGAGTTCCTTGACCGCATCCCAGCTTGCTCTCTAGGAAGTACCCACAGTTCTTCTCGTCTTGTCATCTGTGGCAGGTCTGTTCCTAATGCCTTTAAGGAAGAAGCAGTGCACAGCCCCGTTGGAGCTTGAAGATTTCCAAGGATTTTCCTGAAGCTTTGTTGTTGTTTGTTTGTTTGTTTGTTGTTGCTGTGCGTCTTGGGACCCCTGGCTGCCTACAGTGCTTCCTGCTGGGAAGAATACTTTTGGGTTCCTGACTGTCCAGCTTCAGGTGAGTGCCGTTCACTTTTGCACCCTGAACCAGGAGTAGGTTTGACTTTGCTCTCATCTTGTATCTCGTGGTGTCCCACTGGTGACCAGAACTCATGGTTCTCCTAGGAAGATCCCCTTGCTCTAAGGGTGACAGTTTGCGCAGGGAATCAGTATTCAGGCCAGGTGTGCTCACTTACTGCTCCTCCAGCCATTTCCCTGCATTCCATTCCACCTCAACATTTGTTCGCCCTGCTCGGTCCTAGGGCTTGTCAGGAGCTGGCCTGCATCTGTCCTCATTTGCTGTTTGTCCTGCTGGAATAGTTTTCAGTTATTTTCCTGGCACCTACTTCAATAGATGCCCCTAACACCCAGTGACAGCTGCACACACACGATTTTATTTTAAAAGATGCATAACTTTAATGCATACAATTTCATTGTCACACCCAATGGCATTAAACTTAATATGATTTAATATTCAGTCTGTGTGGAGTTTTTGAAGTATGTTTTTTGTTGCCTTCTTTTTTTTCTCCAGATTTAATATCTGTGATCGAAGGTAAAAGAGATGTGGAATTCACCCAACTGGCTTTCTCTTCCTGTGCCCCTCCTCCTGTTTCCCTGGGCCTTGCTGGGCCATGTTTAACAGCTGTAACTTACCTGGTGATACAAGCTGGCTCTCTGAGTTTGCCTTGCTCCTTTGTTCTTTCCAGATTCACTGTGTTTGATTGGCTGTGGAATCCTCTCCTGAGTTCCATGCGTGCTCACTTGGCTCTAATGAACTGTCACTGACGCTTGCTACTTCCACTATGGTCTGGGTCCGTGGATGATCAGTGCCATCTCCTGACCTCTTCACTTACTCTCTTACCCTGCCCCCAGGCACGTTTGTACAGAAACCACGAGGATCTTTTCAGCTGTAATGATGTCAGCCGGTGACTTTTCATCTTAATCAAAGTTGAAACCAGTGTCCTCCAACACTAGGTCTCACTGCCCTCTACTTATGCTTGGACTTCATCTCTACTCCTCTGTCCTGACTTGCCACATCAGCCACATCCATCGTTCCTCTGTCTTGCCAGCCTATGCCCGGGCTATTCTCTTGTCTGAGCTATTTACTCCCGCACAGCCTTCAGACCTGACAGAGGTCTCTCTAACCGCTCTTTAAAATTCCAGAGCCCCAGCCACTTCTGTTACTGTTCTTATGTGCTCGTGCATGTTTGTTAAAGGGTGTGTCTTATTCATTCACCTCTTCCCCTAGGCTGTAGTCACTTATGTAGTAAGATAATACTCTCCACACCTTTGGTGCTTTAGTGGGTTCACTAGAAGACTGGGGTCAGCAAGGACCCCTGGTCTCACCCTTTTCATGTAGCATGTAGTACCTGGCTCCCTGCCTCTGTGTGTTCTCTCCAGCAGGGTAGCTGAACTTCATACATGGTATCTTAGGGGTGCCAAGAGTGAAAGTTGTCTCGTGTTCTTCAGTGTAAGCTGGTGGTACAGTGTTACCTGAATCACGGTTATTAGTTAAAGCAGAGGCAACCCAAAACCAGTGTTTAAGGCTGGGGTAAGGCAATCTGAACAGCAGAAAACATAGTGATAGTATTATATTATAACCCCAGAGGTAACAACCCAACTGTATATAAATAAATAACTGAGTTCAATAAGCAGGGAGATGGGACAACTGCTCTTACAGAGCTGTAATGACTGAACTCAGGGTGGAAAAGGGAAAGAGAACATTGCCACTCTGTACATGCCGCAGTAATAACTGGTGTGGTGAGCTTCACACAGGTATGGTTGAGTCAGTGAATGGAGGTTTGAAGAGACACGGGTTACCAGTAAAAATCTCCAGGTATTCCCTCAGCACTGTGAGTGAAACTGTCCACACCAGTAAGCCAATCCCTGCTCGAGTTCCTGCTCTCAGTGCTCTGTGTATATGTTCAGAGTAGCGTGGTGGAGCACACAATCCTTTTGGGAGGAGCCACTGGATGGATTTGTGGCTCTGCCATTTTACATTCCTGCCTGTAACGTGCAGTGGTCAAGTTGTGATTTTGAAAGTTTATTGAGCCGGGCGGTGGTGGCGCACGCCTTTAATCCCAGCACTCGGGAGGCAGAGGCAGGCGGATCTCTGTGAGTTCAAGACCAGCCTGGTCTACAAGAGCTAGTTCCAGGACAGGCTCCAAAACCACAGAGAAACCCTGTGTCGAAAAACCAAAAAAAAAAAAAAGAAAGTTTATTGAAAACTATAGTTTCTTTTGCTTACCATCGCTCTGTGTTCTTCTACGACGCCTAGATTCTCTAGTGGATTCTCAGAGTGAAGAGTTGGCCCTTCTCCCTGTCTCATAGTACTTTCATATTTAATTCAGGTCTGTCATCTGTTTTGTTTTGCTTTGCTTTGGAGACAGGGTCTCTCCACATAGCCCTGGCTGTCCTGGAACTCACT